TAGGCCTAAATTATATGGTAGATAAGTTAATACATTGATTATTGCTACCAACAGAAGGACAGGATCAGTCACGAGGCCAGTTAGAAAGGCCTTTGGGAAAGAAATCAATAGCACAATTAAAAGTGATCTGGAAGAAAGCAATATTCCAGCAGATTCTTCTTAATCGAATGGAGAAGGAAAGCCAGCGCATAAGAGGTAAGCTTAATAAAGTTCCTGGAGGATTATTGATTGTTCATTTGAATTCACTGGTAATGTGGCTTATGTCAAATAATTAATCACACTTGATATTTTTTTGAATTTTCAACATTTTGTGTTCTAATGCAGTTGAGAAATATGATTTAAGAATATAAGTTGTGAGAGATTGTCTGTCTGTGTTTATTTTCAATGCAGATTTTAAACTTTTTTTTTTTTTTTTTTAAGCTTACCAGCAAGAGGTAGCTCTCTTGCGAGTACGGTTGAATTATGATGAAGAAGACCTCCCGCGGGAGGCTGTACAGGCCTGGGAATTGATGCTCTCCAGACCTCATGTCAGAATTGATTCAAACATCCTCCATAGTGGTGTTAAGCAAGGTAAGAGAGAGCTTTGGATTACACTTTCATTTGGTTTTATAAATGAAGCTTTTTCTGGAAAAATATTGTTGATGTATAACGCATTTTACAGTACTGATAAGACATCTCTTTGAACTCTACTTTAACAGGTGTTCCCAAAGCAGTTCGTGGGAATGTCTGGGAGCTCCTTATCCACCAACACATAGCACGGAATCCAAAAGCACTGCCACAAGTACCTAATTACAACACACCATTTGACAGCATGATCAAGGACCTCACATCACAACACCATGCTATACTTATAGACTTAGGTAAGAAATCTTGTTTTTTGTTTTCTTATGTGTACCAGCTTCATGTCAAAATTACAATGGAAGTAGACTAAAGCTTAGGTGCTTACATGAGACAGAATTTTGATTATTATGAATAATGTCACAAATAGGTGTTACATATTCCATATTTTTGCATAATCAGAAAGGAAATATTTTTACAGTTCCTTAGTTCATATAAATATTTTTTTTATGACCAGGTCGTACGTTCCCAACCCATCCTTACTTCATGCAGACTCTTGGGCCTGGTCAGCTGGCCCTCTTCAATGTCCTGAAGGCTTATTCACTTCTTGATAGTGATGTGGGTTATTGCCAAGGCCTTAGTTTTGTTGGAGGTGTTTTGTTACTACATGTAAGTAATATTTTCTTTTTTACTGACATGCTTTTAAATCATCCAGTATATATTCTGATATTGAATCTTCTTAGGGAGAGTAGGTGCTTAGTGTCATAGAATTGCTTAGAATAATGAAAATTATTCAATGCAAAATTGTAATGTAGCATTAGCCAAAGTATCTCTGCAAAACATCTAGCCTTTAACCATACAAATACTTTCTAACATTTAGTAATCAGTGGTATGTATTACCTCCAATCACTTGCAGGCAGAAGATGAAATTGCCTACAATCTGCTCAAACATTTAATGTATGTAATGGGATGCAGACGTCAGTACAGACCAGACTTCATTGGTCTTCAGGTTAGTTTGATACAGTGTAATTGCACAGTGCTTTAAGGTCTTTGAATGAGCGTGAGCATTATGAAGTATGAAATGGTTAATTTCTGAAGTTTATCTTTATTTTGTATTAACATTTCTTGGTTTATCAACAGGTACAAATGTATCAACTCTCACGCTTGTTACATGACCAGCT